GAGAAATATGAAAAGACGGCGAATAAGGTGACAACGCCGATGTGAAGATTTCATATTAGTTTTCAACTGCCTTGAAACGAGTAAAGATCTTGTGGGTATTTTGTAATAAGTTAAAACACGGAAATGAAATGGCGATTAATCATATACCTACATACATATGTGCATGCTAGATTGTTAGATATTAAAATTTTCAGTTTTCATATTAAACACAAATTTCATTTAATTTGATACATTATTCGTGTGTACTACCCTTTTTACATCGCGAATGTGCTCGTATGTATGAGTTATGATTCAATTTTAATGCGCTCAAGTGCCCTCACGCAGTTCCATTGTTCGTGAGCACAAAGACGTAGGCATATTTTAAAGCGTTGGGAGCGTCTCATGCACGAATTTGCAACAAACTTCAATGAAAGTTTTAGTAGAAAATAAATTAACAAAGCAGTTCAACGGAAAAATGCGCTTTGAAATGTATTTGTATAACCAATTTGTATAAAAGTCGATCGTAGCATTAGCCGAAACGAAAAATCAAAATTCAACAGTAAAATACTCATTTCCTTGAACTTTAAAGTGTTAACCTGCTTTATATTGTTTATACTTCCAGATAGTATACAAAACATTAACCAAAATGTGTTGAGTCGATCTATAAGAAACGTTGAGATCAACTGCTATCTCTCTAGTGCCAACACGACGCTATGCAAGCACTGTTTCCTTTACTTTTTCGCTGTTTCGATAACTTCACGGCCACAAAATTTTACGATTCCAGAGCCTTGATTCCATTGGAAACACGAAATTTTATGCAAACTCGCTGTTTAAATTTTTTGCATGATAAAAATGGCCAGACAAAGTTTTCGAGTCCAACAATACAAAAACTTTCTGAATCTTCAAAAAATTACGAACACTCGAAAAAAAATCTTGGAACCTATATGCGATATTTTAATTGATGATCGAATCATTTTAATGGAGATAATTTTAAAAATTATTATTCTTCAATGAAATCAATATTACCGCTTACTAATTGTTCCAACTGCGCCACTGTTTGCGGAAATGAGCCAAATAGTATAAGTATCGTGACACATGAATGCCGACTGAGACACTTGACGCGAATTTCAATGTTGATTACACATTTTAATAATCGAAAATATGGCAAAGAATGCACTAAATAATGAATAAGACCTCTTCAAGTGCCGCAAATACACCTTCTGTTACAAAAAAATTGAAGAAAAAGTTCAACAATGCAATGGGCAATGGCAACCCTTCTTTCAATTCCGTCCAACTTTAGCAAGAAGGAAGTGAGTGCATTATTGAGTGTGAGCACATTTGAGTCCACTTGGTAAATTTCATATATTTGTAGCCCGCAGAGCGCATTCATTTATTACATCACCTCTAAACACACACACACACACACACACATACTTACTTGCAGGCATAAGTGCACTTGCACACAAATGTGTGTATGAAAGTCCAATACCGAACCACTCACATTTGCACGAACATTCGTGAGCGCTCGTTACAAGAGTTACTCTGCTATTCTGTTGCTTTTCAACCTCCTGCAGCGCCTGTGGCAAGACAGCCACTCGAGTACCGATTCCTCAAATAAAACGCTGAGCTACTTGAACTTATTGAATTTTCGGCATTACCTTCGTGTGTCCGCGCACTCCACTCCGCGCTGGTGCAATGAGCAGATGCACATAGCAAGCAGCTCCACCTCTCGCCACCTCACCGATTGCGTACGTGTGTATTTGAATGAGTGCGTGTGTGCTTAAACGCTTTGCTAGTTCATGTAGCCAATCGAAGTTTTGTATACAATTGTGGCCTTTACAACTTCCGCTCCTTTGCGACCGCTAAAGGATATTTGAATATCGTTGCTCCTTTTGCCAAAACGTCGCCAAGCAAATCCGCAATCCAGACTCGAACAAGTCGCGCTCACTCACTTGATTATTTGCTTATGGAATTTAATTTTGTCATCTTAGCGAAAATTGCGTTTTCTACAGGAGAATAAATGAAATCAGTTCGATGAAACGTGTACTCACACATACACACACATATGTTCGTGTACACAGTGGTACTATTCAATCCTTGTAATCGGAATGCCATCAAAACGACTCGAGCGACAATTCATATGAACAACAAATACTCTTGCGAATACATATCGACGGCTGCACAAATACAGTATTTCATCGAGTGTTAATATTTGAATTAACTGTAATATGACGTGACTCAAATATCAACACGTGATCACACTTAAGCAATGATTGAGTTAATCTGAGTGCTGCTGCCGGCATGCATAGAAATGAAGTGCTACGAGTACAAATATTAAATATCATATAATATTCTTGAAAAACGGCAAACTTTCTACCTTTTAAGTAATTTTGCAGGACACAAGAAAAATATTATTTTTATGATACATTTTGTATAAAGAATGAACAAATGTGGTCTATGTGAGGTCAAATTTTTTTTTAACTTGAAATACTAGGAATTCTAAAGTGATTGCGATCAAATGACCATGGTTCTCCATCTATGTCTGATCTAGACGAAATATACCAGAAAACTGGCCATGGCCGCGAAACAAAACAAAATTTATGTTGCTAGTTTATTATGGTATTAAAGTTGTAGAAATTGCGGATGCTCACTAACACAAAGCCAGACTTAGATCCTATGCCTGTTTTTTTTTTTTTTTTAACATTTCTTTTTTTCGTAATATTAACAGTCTTCCCAGCGCAAGCAATGGGAATCTGCCTCCAAGCTTATTTCTACCAAGAAAAAGCTTCGACAAAATTTCAAAATATTTTAACCATTGTGAGCCGGCTTGATGCTAATTGTACCCTATCAAATTTGATCCGGACTGATAAAGAAAAATCTACATGTTCACGTATTTTAGTACTAATATTTATTATCGCCTTTAAAATAATTTTCATTACGTATTTCTTTTCACTTCCAACCTCGGCTGGAAATGGTCTTTTCATCGAATTTTTGCTTTTCGGTTTCGGCTCATTCGCTAAACTGAAGACTTGCATAAGGCAAGCTTTCGATGAACTCACAACCTTCCCATGTTGCTTCATGCAACTTAAATATATTTATGTTCGTGATAAAGTAGACTTCCCAAAGCACTATTGCAATATTTTCATTGATCTAGAAAAAAAGTTTTTATCGATTCGGTTTGTGGGCGCAATTCAATACGGGCCAGAGGAGAAGCTCTGTCAGGTAACTTGCCGTCAGAGATATAGTGTCAACTATAAATATGTAGTTCGCATAAAGTTGTTTTGAGTCTTTCTCATCTTGTTAGCCTTCAATATAAAGAATATTAATCAAAAGAAAGCGGTTGAAGATTTCATTTATTGGTTGCTTGAAAAGTTAGATCGAAGCATACCTTTTAGATGAGAGTATTGCGCATTGAGAAATATTTCGTCTAAATCGGTCTAACCTTCGCCAAAATAATGCTTCAAAGTTTCGTCATTCTACTCGCATGCTCTACATTCTGCTGATTCTACAATACCTTAACTAATTTCTTGAGGAGAGACCTCGGAGATAAATGTCCTGTAATGACTCTACTAAAATGCTGAGTTCCAACTTACTAATAGAGGAAGTGTATGTTGGAGATCCTTCAAGATCTGAATCTTTCCAAATAACAACAACTGATGCTGCAGGCAATTTTTTCAACTGAAACTTCAAATTCTTCTATAACAGCTGTAATTCTCTTTAATATATTTTACTAATTAAATTTTCTGTTTCTATTAGCAAACGCTTTTAAGGCGGCGTCTCTTCGGTTCAATAACCCAACACTGCTATTGTTATCATTGAATCCTTTAGCTTGTTCATATTGCAGCTATTTTTCCCAGAAATTCTTAATCCTTCACATAATTACAACAAATAAATATGTATGTATGTAGCAGCCATATTTGTAACTTTCACATTTCCTTATATTATATCCTTTGCCTATCGTGCATTCTCCAGCTGTGCGCTTGAACCAGAAAGAGTGGCTGCCATCATTATTGACGAATATTTAATAATTCTGCTGTGCAACAATTAAATAAGACAGCACTGTATTTAACGCTGCGTGAGTCCTACATACTGGTTTCCGTCTGTTTTGTGCCCTCCTTTTCAACCATCTCTCATACACAAGGAAGTTGCAACATTGAATTTTAAACTTCTCTACGCGTCTTTCGTATACTTTATACCTAGTGAGACATATTGAACCATAATTTTACAGCGCTTCACTGATTTCTGCAATACATTGGCTCACTTTCAATATTTCCGAAGATTAACCGAAAATAAATATATAATTATATATCTAAATATAAGGCTATTTATTCCTATCTTTATACATTTTCCTTCGCACAAGAAGATAGCACTTTATATACCACAAAGTTCTGCTCTGATTTTAAAGTAGTGTCTTAATATGAGTTCTTCAAATAAGGAGGTTCATAAAGGTGAGCAAGGTCCTTGTAAAACAAAGCTTATCCGTATTAAGAAAATGTTCGTATGTCTTCAGTGAAAAAAAATTCCGTAAAGATGTAGAGATTATTCTATAGGTTTTATTCTTAGTTTCTAAAAAATTAATTCATCAAAATGAACTAAAACTCAACAACTCTAGCATCTCTATCTTCTAGACGAGAGAAAAGTTCCCGAAGGTTATTACTTAGAGCTTGTGACATTGGCTGTTGCTCAAGTGTGCGTATTTTCTCTCAAAAGAATCGAATGTGTAGCCTTGCAACAGTTTCATCAAATACCATAAATAGATCGTTCCAGACATTGAAGATATGACTACATTCTAGTGATAAGCCTCATTCCATTATAGTATTTACAAGTCTTACTCTAAACTCTTCAATTTAACATATAGCTCGATATTACTGGCACCTTTTTAGTGTACCTTTAAAAGTTATCCGAACAGAGAAGGGTCCGAACCGACGCGCTAAGCATTGATCAAGCAAACCTTTGGTATTTTATGATCTTCAAGATTTAAGTATTTTAAGTATCGGTATTGAAACACTTACAGGAAAAATAGAACAGATATACGTATTACTGTGTAAATTATTAATTTTATTTTATTAAGTACTCTTATTGTTTATTCTTTTCTATTATAATATTTAATGTACAATAATTTTACTCTATTAAACATTTGCTCATATTTTTATAAGTTATCACTACTTTATTGATTCTCATTCAATATATAAAACTAAAGAACTGTTTTCACGGTTAAAATATTTCCAATAAACCATAAGACAAATATTTTTTCATAATTTATTTTTGTTTGGTTTGCTGCTGTGTCTAAGAAGTTTATCAAATGTTATATAAATGAAATCAATCACATATGAGTGCTTTATATTATAATAATTACAAAAGGTTTTTTTTTAATATAAATTCGATCTCTGGAGATAAATACTAACTCATAAGTATGGCCATAATTTTGCTTAAACGCTCAAGTCTTTATCCCTTTCTTTTCGACGCTCCAAACTTAAAAGCTATCAACTTCTGTTGAAAATAAATTATTTTTTATTTTATTTATTTACAAATTAAACCTTTTAGCACTGATAATAATGCTTAGTCCGATCTACTTAAGAGTGTTCAGCGTGAAACAATTAACGAGCCACATTTGTTTTGCGACTAAATCGAAAGCGCCATCAAATGGCCGTAGCTGCTTCAGGGTAAAGTTCAGTCCTCACTTTTGGTCACCACTGAGACGGGCGTTGAGGCGCTGCTCGCCACGCTTGGCGCCAACGGGCTTTTGGGTGAGGCAGCAGCCGATGAGGTGAACGTAACGCCACCCGCCACCATCGAGGTGGGTACCAACGAGACGAGCGCTGCTTGCGACTGGCTGGGTGGGCTGTCACGCGGACTATTGCTGCATGGTGGACTCACTTGCGCCGCCGAGTGTAGCGACAGATTCTGCGGGTAGCCAGCAGCGAAGATGCCATTCAAATTACTCAAGCCCATGTATTGCGAGAGGAGGGTGTGGAAATTGGGCAATTTGTAGTGCGGAACAAGGCTGGGTGGCAGCAGCGCAGGGTTGAAGTGTTGATGTAAGGCAAAGTGTGGTGGCCAGAACTCGGGTGGCAAGGTGGCCGGATGGCCGGGTATGCCGTGCGGAATTGGTAGGCCGAGTGGAAAATCAGGCAGACCTGGAAATGCAGAAAGAAAAGAAATTATGTTCATTAGTAGATGTCAAAATATGCGATTGCATGTCAAACCAAAAAAAAAGTGATAATTGAATTAATAATAAAATTTCGAAAAGTTAATTAAAATGGTTATTACTTCAGTAATTTGTTATTATGAAAAGCGAGTGTAATTAAAATAACATTAGCGTTAATTTATTTATTAATCAAATTTAGCAAGCCGTTTTTATATTAAATGAGAAAAATGAAAGCTAAGCAGAAACTATTAAGAAATTGGGCAAACATTTTATAAGCAAGCCTAAATTTAAACAAGTTTATAATAGGTTTTGATTGCGAACCGCAGTGTTATAAAAATTATTTCCACAAATTTAAATTAAAAATATGTTCGTAGTACCAACCTTGATCGGGTAGCAAATATCCGTTTTTATCCTGATTCATAAATTTTTCGCGTTTTCGCCACTTGGCACGCCGATTCTGAAACCACACCTAAAAATAAAATAGAAAATAATTATAATTAATATAAATGTTCAAGACTTGTAAACTTATTTTATCAACAAAAAAAGCTTATATCTATTAACTGCATTACATTAGTAAATAATTGGCTTGTCGAATTTTAATGCAACAGCACTACAACCCCCGAGCAATCCATAACTACTCTACAGCATGCCTACAAGGGCGAATATTCGCACAATATACCAGAGCCTTTCAACAGCATTCAACCCTCTTTTCACGCCTTGCTGAGTTGAGCTGGGGCAGCGGAGGACAATGGCATAGCAAGCATTACAATAGTATCCAATCGGAAGTCAGCTGCTCCTCCGCTTGTCTTCAGTCAACAACCCTACATTAATCCCAACAGAGCCAGAACACATTCGCATAAACGACCCTGCCTCCTGAACTAAGTTAACTAAGAAGAAAGTGCGCATTTGACGCCTTAACCAAGTGGCATGCAACGCCAACCACCAGAATTATCGCATCAGGTGTTTAGACAGATTACTGTGGTGAAGCTGCAAGCCCTTTCGGCAAGTTGCGAAGAAACTACAACAACAAGAAATATCTCGGAAAGGTGAAAGACTGGCATATGACCAGCAACCTCTATCCACCTTCATGCGCTCGAACCTTGTTCAGTCGCTCAAACAATTATTAAATGCAATTTGCAATCGTGTTTAAGCCGAGTGCGCCCAATTTAACAACAACGAATTGGCTCTGTATATACAGACATACAAATATATCTGTGGCAACAGAAAAATCAGAGCTGGTCTTCTCAATGGCTTTTACATATTATTTTTGTTACTTTTTAACACTGGTGCATATAAGCACCGGGTAACATTAAATAATGTAGAGCTAGTTTTAGAAGCTTGTAAGATGTTATAAGACAATATTACTGACTTTCCGAGCTTTTTCTAAAAATTTTTTATGATATCGAAAAGCAAAAATTTACAATGGTCTACAACTAAGTCTGTGAGTTTCTCTTTCACTCCGGGGTTATATTCACACATACTGAACGTCTGGTTCACAAAACGTTAAAAAAATGTGTGTAAGCGAAGTTTTCGGAGCTTTTTTTTCTTCGATTTACCAATATATAGAAATATTACACATGAAATTTAGCTCATTCCTCTGAACCAGGTTCCTCCATATTATTTAAACATCTCATATAGCTAAATTAATGTATCTATTTACATCTTTCGACTTAACTCACGCCCTAAAATACGCAGAATCACAGGCAAATGTGCTTTAAACAATGAGCTTTTATCGAACTTGTGTTGAGAGTTGAATTTCGGCGTGGGCGTGTATGGAAAACATTTCCGTTAACATGTATGCAGCTGACAGAGAGCAATTTCCTCAGCACTGAGCACCCATACTTGCATCCAGCGACTTAAATAGATAACTGCTTAAGTGCCCAGATCCTTTTGATGCATTGTACGCAAGCCTTGTACTGTGGCTCGGGCGTGTCTGCGGTAAATGTGCTTGTGCTTGACGAGATAGTGTGTGTGTGTGTGTGGGTTGTTGCGGTGGGGTATTAAGAAAATTAATTGTTTGTAAGCAAATTTGCACAAAGCCAAGGACCGAAAACCGGAGCGATCACCACCTCAGTGCCAGGTCAAAACAGCAAAAACACCGAGAATGTGTAGCAAAGTTCACCAAAGTTGAAAATTTCAAATTGACTAACATTTGCATGCCTTCGTTTAGTTCTACAAGAAGCAGGAGTGCTGCTGAAATGTGGCACCGTGGGCAGAGGGAGTTTGGAAGACATGTAAGCTGACGAAATTTTAAACAATGCGCAACCAAGTGCGAATATTGAAGCTATCAAGGAGTATAAGGGCATTTAAGGTTTAATTTCAATAAGCGGCTCGCCTCCCTTAGGACAATCGACAAGCGGTCGTCGTCGCTCGACGTCGGCAGCTGCGTCGACTGTTCGCCCAACAATGCAGGCGCAGCAATGCGAGAATAAAATTAGTAATGATTTCCTGGCAATAATTGCCCTAAATGCTGTCATTTCTAGATGACAATGCAGGCTAGTCGGTGGTAGCATGAGTGGGGAAGCAACGGCAAGGAGTAGATATGTGCAAAGATGATTATTGTAATGATGAAGACGAGCTGCATGGCTGGTTATCGGTGGGGTAGGGTTTCGTTGACAATCTACAATATTCTAGCTGCCCTAGAGCTCTGGGCCTCATGTGAGTGTGCCTGCAAAAGCAAACACACGAGTTTGTGTGTATGTGTGTGTGTGTATAAGGAGGAATTTAATTGTTGCAAGGGCTGCTGTAACGGCAAGTGAATATTCATATCATTTTCTGGCACTGAGATGAAACGAAAAATATAATTGTGCTAAATGCTTTGCTTTATTCGTTTATGCCAGAGAATAGTCGGATGTGTAGACACGCTTCCGGGTAATTATGTGAGCAGAGGCATTTTATGCATGCCTTAATCTACAAATGTGGCATGAAAAATATTTTTTTATATGAATGAAATAAATTAAAATTCTAAAGAACTATTTAATATTAAAAAAAAACTCCAAAAAATAATCAAAATAATATTTTTTATTATAATAAATTTTGGATGAATTAGGTTTTCCACGATGTTTGTAACACCCAGAAGAAAACATCGCAGACCGCATAAAATATATATCTAAATGATCAGCGTAAAGAGCTAAGTCGATTTAACCATGTTCGTCTGTCTGTCCGTCTCTTTGTATATACGCGAACTAGTCCTAAGGTTTTTGAGATATCGTTCTGAAATTTTGCATACTTTCTTTTGTCCTTAAGAAGCTGCTGGTCTGTCGGAACTGCAAATATCGGACCACTATAGCACATAGCTGCCATATAAACTGAGCGATCGGAATCAAGTTCTTGTGCGGAATCATTTGTATTTTTGAAGGATATTATAGTAGCGGCGCAACCGAAGTAAACGTTTTTTGTTCTTCTTTTTTTAAGTTTTATTCTATTTTGTCCAAAATTTTCCGTGTCCATATTCACTAAAACCCTCACTAAGTATGTTTGCATAAATAATTCTGCTATCATATTAATGCCAATAAAAATGTATCAGCTTATCAATAGATATTATATTTTCATAGACATGACCATATTTCTCTGTGGCACAACAACAACCCTATCAAATCAGAACGATGAATATTTATACAAATTGTCTGATACTAAACTAGTTACCAGCCAGTTTCAAACGCAAATCCACGCACGCATGACTTCCCATACCATACGTGTGTGTGGATGTGCACATGTGTGACCAACGCGATTGTATCATTTTTACATACACACACATACTTTTTTTTCGACTTAATTTTTTCTCGCTCAATATGCCGCCACCAGTCGGCGCTCATGTCCTTCCAAGTGCATTAAATCCGAAAATAATTGCCATCTTCATGCCAACATGTTGTCCGCCGAGTCCATGTGCCCTTACAAAGCACACACACACATGTATATATGCAAATAAATATACACATGTGTGCGCTATACAAGCTCGTTGAAGGCTCATTTAATGCAGATAGGAGGAAAAAAACCCGATTGATTCAATGACAGGCAGCCAACCAACAAATGCATTCACGTACATATGGATGTATGTATGTATAAGAGTATGACTGTATGTGTGTGTGTGTATGTGTATAAAATGTGCGGTACTTGTTAGCGATTTAGTGACTACTAATCGGTGCATTTAAAAATGCTACAACACGTTCATTTATCCTCATACGTCCAGTGTATACCATAATGAGCGTGTGTGTACGAGTATGTGTGTTTGCGGACACCAGTTATGGGAAAGCAATTGAAGTGCGCGCGAGTGTGAGCGTGTATTATACGCGATTTTTGATTTTTTCGCAAACTGATACTATCAATGACCAATTTAGCTAACAAACGGATTTGTTCCATCAACAAACTCTCACACACTCACACATATTTTATTTTTTTTTAGGTAAGTCATCAAACGTATTATAATCGGAATACTACAAGTACGGATATGTTTTGAGTAGAACGTTGGGAATGCTTTTTGAAAAGGTATCAGTCACGAGTACAACACATGTAAACATACATTTGTGTGTGTATGTGTGTGTACGCGCGTGTACGTTAAGTCTATTGGTGTTTTTGAATTTTTTTTTCAAATATCGCTATATCCGTTTTTGTTAATTTCGTGCTCAAATTGTTCAATAAGCCGTTATCTCAATTTGTTGTATTACGTTTTTTATTGCCGTCATTATTGTCGTGTCGTAAGGGTAAAGGGGATTGCGCTTGTATTTTGCCGATTGATCATCATTATTCACACACACACACATGCACGATGGAGGGGTGAGGAGTGGTGTTTTGGCATATGCTCAGACACTACCGCTTTGTGTTTAATCTATGGCCCTTGTTGGGTCAAATTAATGTAAAAATAATAACAACAAACACTCAATAGCCAATTTAAAATTGCCCTTAATGGCACTACAATGCAGATTGTGGGGGAAAAAAACTGTTTGAAGATGAGCTATCTATTTTATACAAGTTTGGTATCTGAGCGAGTCATCCGTTGAGGTATATGAGAGTTTACGTATGTATAAAATAGATAATTTGTAATGAGTTTACATAAGTTGATATGAATTTTGTGAAATCATTTAGTTAAAGCTGCTGAGAAGTTTTCTTGCATATCTCATATCTAATTTAAAATAAAAAGTTATAGGATGGTCACTCAAAAACTACTTATTATATCGAATTTTATAAGCTGTGACTACGTTTTTCCAGAAATATACTGCATACAGCATTCCAAATGCTATCCAAGTTAATAATGTCTACTTCAAACAGTGATGTGAAGAAATGACATGCTTCTTTATAAATTCGCTTTTAAATTAAATTGTGATTCCCACGAAAAATGTTATCCATTTTAAGCTTAAGCTAAATATAAAGTGAAATAATTACAATTGTAACTCTGTTTTGGTTTATCTCAAGGCATTTTTAAAATGAAATCATTCATTTTACATTTTCAATATCATTTAAGGAGAAAATCTCAAACAGTTTTTAGTTAAAGCCTTTTAAATTGTAGTCGCTTGATTCAATCTGCAACGTGTGTTCATTTTTGAACGCTCTTATCCTTCTAATTTTTAAAACACGCCGCCATTTTGTCAATTATGCTTTTATTTTCTAACGTAGGTCATTTTACGGATAATACCTTTTAGTAGAGAATTTATTTTTAAGGTTTCACCCACAGAGAAGCGCGCAATTGATGCAGCAGTGGAGGACCTTTTGAAACTTGAAAAAATCTTAAAATATGTAAAAATATACTCTTAAAATTTCAAAACAAATAATCAAACAGTTTTTTTTTTCTCAAAAAACACACAAGTATGCCACTAAAATTTATATAATGAGTAGTAATAATGCCAAACAATAATATTTCTATATAGTTTTTCTAATAACAATCGATTGTACACGTTAAACATCGATCGTGATCTCCATTAAATATATAAAAATATTAACACCGCGAACTTTTTATTGCCTAAATTTGCAGCGACGACCTTTCAAGCAAATCAATGACACCGTTCACTAATTCCTAAATGCAATCAAATGGAAAATCGCTATTAAGAACTCATTGCGGCACTAATGAAGGTGATGAAAAGCAGGGAAATAACACCCCTCTCCTTATTCTCATGATAAAAAAAAATTTTACACGATTTTCGAATGCGTAGCATATACCCAGGCGCATATGGGATAGTGTTAAACCACCCTAAAACTCGTTGACTGCAAATGTTTTGTATACACAAAGCGATTTAAAGTGTTTTAACGCTATTTACAAATGCACAGAATATACACAAAATTCGTTTCACCAACAACCACTACAAATAAAATTAAACAAAAGCACCATGTTGCCAGTAAATTAAATTCTCATCAGTGAAAAAAGCGAAAAAAGCAAGCTATCAGCAGCTTTGGATAAGCGTTCAGCGGACGGCGCGTGCAGCATGTATTTGATTGTGCGACAGCAACAACTGTAAGTCGCTACTTGACTGGCATTCTTATGCAAATTACGCAACTACACATACAAACCATACATATGTAGGTACGAGTATATGTGTGTATGGCAGTAGCTTTAATACACTGGCGGTTAAAACCTCCTTAAATCAGCACAATGATGCGCAATGCTCAATCCTTCATTTGTATTAACAGTTGAACTGCCACATACTTGAACACACAAACCCACCAACACATGTATGTATAACATTTGTATTCGTTCTGCTTGATTGTTGCAATTGTTGCGTATGAAATTTGCATAATTAGCAACATAATTGAGTGTGGCTACTGCATACATATTGTGGCACATGCCTTTTTCAACCACACTTGCAAAATTGCTTAATTGTTGCTAATTAACCCATTAATCTGGAAATTGAATTGCGAAAATAATTACCAAACAAAAGTCATTGCTGAATTGAGAGCCAAAATTTGTGCCGTCAATTAATAATTCGCATTGTTGCAAGCGATTATGTTGCACTTAAATTGATATACGCTTATTTTTTGTAAATGTATGCGAAATTATTGCTGGATTACCCTTTTTTCACCTTAAACAGAGTAGTAGTATTTTAAAATTGCCACTAAGTTTGTAACAACTAGAAGAAATCGTCATAGATCGTATAAAGTATAAATATAAATGAACAACATGACGAGTTGAGTCGATTTAGCCATATCCGTCTGCAAGTATAAACGCGCAGTTTTTGAGCTATTGATCTGAACATTTTTTTTCTCACGCGCTCTTCTTTTCAAAGATCTGCTAATTTGTCGGAACCGCCGATGTCGTACCACTACCTAGCCTAAAGCTGCCTTACAAACCGATCAAGTTCATATATGGAAAACAATTTTTATTTGACCGATCAAAAACAAAATACAAATATTTATATAACCTTTATGCTATAAAAAATGTACACGGGAAGCCTACTATAGCGTCGAGATAACCGGTGTAAATATTTTCTTGTTTTCTCCTTCCTTTAACAAATTTTATCAACGAAATATCCCACCGAACGGCACGCGAGCTATAAGTGAAGTTCTCGTAACTTACAATTGGATACTCAAAGGATAACAAACCCAATATAAATTTATTACGAATTCAAATCGTACCGAAATCTAATAGAATAACCACTTATTTTGTTATTAAAAAAAATCTCTCACGAAATATTTGCAATCACAAAAAACTGTTACAAACAACAACACAAATTTAGCATCGCATATGTGTGTAGTATGTATGCACCGTCGAGAGCATCTCATCATCCACTTACAATCAAATTGACTCACGTGATCAGACAATTGCACCATTAATGCGACCATTATAGTTGATATCAAAAGTGCTTTATTGCAACAATCGCCATGGGAACATCAACACGAAAATGAGATACAAATAAATGCTGCAAACACACACACATACATACGCACACAATTGCGCGCATAAAAAGCAGCAGCTGCCATTGTTTGTTGCTAAAATGCGCTAATCCGTACATAATTACAAAATCAGATAACAATTTTCGAGCTGCAATCGACTCCTGCGCTGCCAACCAGTGACTAGTGCGAGTAATTGTTTATGTACTCGTATGTAACAGATGATAAAATCACAATTCGTCGTCTATTTACCTGTACACGTGCTTCGCTCAAATCCAAGCGCATCGCCAAATCTTCCCTTGTGAAGACATCCGGATATTGTGTCTTCTCAAAGGCGCGCTCCAGTTGATGCAACTGAAATGTTGTGAATGTGGTACGCGATCTGCAATGGCATCAATGGAAAAGAAATTAATATTATTGTTATATTTGTATTTAAGGCCCGAATAAATGAAATCTCTGTATAAATGAAAGAACTTGTCTCAATAAATCAAAGCCGCCGCTTTGGCAAGACGCTCAGAAGCTAAATTTAATGCGATTTCTTTTCGCCTCTTGCAAATTGCTTTTATCGACATTCGAGTTTATTATTCACAGATCTTTAAGCGGATTTTAATTTGACAATAAAAAGTATCTAAATAAACATTTGAAGTTATTTCTCAGCTTTATAACTGTTTATAAGCAGCTTGCGAAATTATATAGCAACATTTTTAATGAAGAAAAACAGATTCAAAGAGAAAAATTTCTAATCAGTCATTTGTATTCGAGTAATAAAAGAGTTTGAATGCTCCTCATCTTAATTCGAAACATTTTCAGACAATTCAACGGTGTCAATATTTGTTGTAGAAACTAAAGTGCAGTATCAAAAAAAGTTTTTTTCATCTCAAAATCAACAATAGAACAAGTTTTATTTAATAAATATTTATACCCTGAACAGGATATAGTAAGTTTACCACGAAGTTTGTTACACCCAGAAGGAAATGTTGGAGACCATATAAAAAATATATATATAAATGATCATTCGATCAGACTGAGTCGATTTAGACATGTCCGTCTCTATATACGCTAACTAGTGCCTCAGTTTTTGAAATATTGATATGAAATTTTGCACACGTTCCTTTTTCTCCAAGAAGCTGGGGTAACGCCGGCATCGGACCACTGTGAGATACAACTGCCATACAAACTAACCGATCAAAATCAAGTCGTTTGTTATTGGACAAGATATATTCTCAAAATTTGGCACAGATTATTGTGCAAGGTAGACCTATAATATTCGAAAAAATTGTTTTACAAACTAACCGTACAAAATCAACCTAAAAATTTGTCTATACCCTTTCTGCAATTAAAACCACGTAAAAACCAAAAAATTTTGTTTTCCGGCTAAATGGTTCGCAGTCAACTCCAGATTACCTTTTAAACATTTTTTTTTATTAAATCACAAAAATAAATTTGAAAATATTTATAATACCATATTGTCTAATCCTTACCTTCGAACCTTACGCGGTCGCTCCATATCGCCCAAATCATGTCCGCTATTCAGGCTATTCGACAATTCGTCGTCATTATCCACATCGAGCCCGTTGTCCATATTTGTTGGAGATTCGTCGCGTTGATTCATGTGATGACTGTGATGCAACGAATTCATGCTACTCATATTGTTGTTGCTACGGTTGCCGTTACTAGAGCTATTGCTAAGATGATTATTCATATTGTTGTTGTTGTTATGTAGAATATGTATTTGATGGCTATTCAAAGACTCGGTGGAATCTGAAAAAACAGAAATGATTATTTGATTAAGTTTGCAAGTAATTTTAAATAAACGTTTTTCAAATACAACATATTTAATTCTAATAAAATGTAAATAAAAATTAATAGTAAAGCCATAGCTTTATAAAAAAAAAAAAATATTAAAAAAAAATTTTTTTTAGAAATATTTATTATTAAGAAGGCTTGACTGTATTACAACACGAAGGCAGTTCATGAATTCATTGCACACCTTTTTGGGGTGGTTGCGCCTAATTCATATTATTGTTATAGCATTAAAAAATGTTTAAATAGCTAGTCGACTAAACACTGGCGTTTCGCATTGATATTCACGCGCATTCAACGTCAGCTTACTTCTGCTTACGCAACGTCTCGCATACATAGCCTCACCAACCCACTTTTCCGCCCATTCTCAAGCTATGCCCGGCGAGTGTATAAACAAACCAATTCAACCCGACTTCTCAGCGCCGCTAAACAATTGAAAATTTCTTCTTCAAATACTTCACGAAATAATTTTCGAACAATAGCAACAACAAGCATGCCGCATGACTTTACTAGGCACCAAAGCCGAGCACACCACATACACACACACGTTTTAAGCGTATTTGTGTGTGTGTGTTTGTTTGTATTTTTACCAATTGTGCACTTCTTTCGTTGAATTCTCGCTTCTCGCTTGGTTCGATCGCATAATTGTGTACACACACACTCACACATTTAGCGCTTATCGGTGCAAATTTCAAAATCAATAAATCAAAAGAATTTTTTCGGTAAACACACACAATTGCCAAGTGTGCAAACAATGGGTTAAAAAATTGCAAATTCAATTCAATAAAAAGAATTATGCGTTGCGTTTGTTGCCTCATTTCCATTGAGTTTCAATTTGATGGCGTTTCAATTCAATTTGATTTGAAAGAAAAAGTCCATTGAAGAGTGTATTTAAGTATATATTTTGGCTAAGTGCCTAAGTGCCATATACATTTAGATAGGTATTTGTGTATGTGTCTCATGGCATTCGTCTGTATGTATGTGCCTATGCATATGTGTTCGCAGGGGTTAAGTAGCAATTTCCTGCGCTGTAGACATTCACCAATTTAAAATTCGACTTGAGTGCGAATTTGATTTAGTCCTTTTTTCCTAAAAAAATTTCTAAAATTTCAGGAATTTTATTACAGCATTTCGTATAAGCATCTCCTCAAAATTTAATCTATTTAAGCCAATCATATAAACATTCTGCATTATAGTTGCTATAAAATGTTTGATCGAACTGAAATTTTATTTTAAAAATTAAAAAAGTATAGATTTTTTTTAATAATGATTTTTAATTTTATTGGCAAACTCAATAAGTAAATTAATTGAACAATCGGAATAAAGTTCTTGTAGGGAACCTTTATATTTGTGAAGGGTATTTTAGCTTCGTTGCAACCGAAGTTAATGTTTTTTCTTGTTTTTTGTAATTTTATTTGATCCGACAAATAGCTTTGTAGATAACAGCGAGATTTTTTTAAATTAGTTTAATCGGCTTTCAAACCTTCAAACGGGTTTTTTTTTCGAAACGCTGTTTTTGGAGTCTGTGATATATGTATTTGTTATGCGAAAATAGAAACAATAAAATTTTTGATAATAGTTTCGATTTTTTCAGCCACTCTAAGCAAATTTTTTCACAAAATACGACTATTTTTTGTGACGGCGCCATTTTGTCCAAAATTAAAATGTTTACCAGTTCTTCTATCATTACCAGTATTCATCTTTTTTAATAAAAAATTTGCTTCGCCAAACACCTTTTTTCTAAGGTCCACCAGGACTCAGACTACGTGACCAAGTGAATCCAAAATTTTTGAAAATAAATCGACAATCGACAAAAGTACATGTACATTATTTTTATTAATTTTTTAAATAAAATGGCTCTTCAAAAAAAATAAAAAAACCGTTTTTCCCAATTTCAAGTGGATATGAATTGAGTATTTTCAAAACTTTTCATTTCGAATTTTATTTTGGTGAAAACTGTTAAATATTTTCGCGCTGGAAAATTTATGCATAGCTACGCCAATCATTCATCTGTAATCCACTAAAATTCCTTTTTGAAACTTTATAAAACGTCAAAATATGCTGTTGAGCAATTCAGCTATTAATCAATCGAATATTGAACAACAGTTACGTGCCACAGCAGGCTTCCTCTTTAGCATACAAATTGAAAATGCAGGTATTGAGAGCAAACCACATGTCATACCATCGACTGAGTCATTAACTCAATTATTGATATGGTTGACCATGAAATGGATCAGCTTAGAGCAATTTTAGCGCACACCATTGCTAAAATAACTGTTTTAGTATAAGCATAACACACACAACCGAATCAAACATTATAAAAGCTTTCCTCGCTCATCCTCAGCGAAGCGACCATTGATTGAGCAGATTACCAAACAAAATGCCATCAATTCGTCGGCACAGCATCCCTGCATATTTACACATACGCTACTATATATAAACATACATATATGTATATATAAACGCACGCGCATGAATAAAGAAAGCTTGTTTGAATGTATGTGTGTGTGTTTGTGCTTGCTAGCAATATCGCACTTGACGAAAAACCACAGTGTGTGCAAATATTTTGGCACCTTCGGCTTTTTTGACTAAACCATGCACTGAAAACAACAACATGCAAGTAAGGTAATATTAAAACTGACGGAATCTCACATAAGCACTACTACTACAATATATGCATGTGTTACGTTCACAAGTACATACAGACAATCAAGCATGCAAAGCTTAAACGCACGTTGTTGTACTCATGGCCGTGGTGTTGTCGAGTCCATTTGATTTTATGCAAATTATGTAGCCATTTTGAGCTGAGTAAAAGCTACCATGCCATTCAATTTGATTGTTGTTGTTGTATATATTATCGCATAACGAAGCATTAATAGCTGCATAGAACTGAAATTGAGGATACAAATGTCTACTTATATGACATGAGGTTAAATAATTTTATTTAATGGCAGTGTAATGTACCAGCGTGATTACTGTTTGCGAAAGTAAAGCTTTTCGGAAGTAAATTGTTCAAAACAAAAATTTTAAACATGAAATAACTTTTTAATTGAAGTGCATAGACTCTGAATATACAAGTATATCGCATTGATGGATTTTTAAATAATTATTCCTGTACTATATTTTCAGCCTCAACAAAATTTATAGCGCAAAAAAGTATTCTAAAAATCGCCGAAAAATCTGGCTGTAGTATACATATAATATAATATTACAAAAACCAAACGATATGGAGTCGCAAAGTTCTGCAGATGTTGAGGAGTTTAAAGTTTTATTTGAAATTTAAAAGCCTTTAAAATTAAAATTTCTAATATTGCTTTTTTTATGCCCTGAACAAGGTATAGCAAGTTTGCCATAAAGTTTGTAACGGACAGAAAAAAACATCGGAGATCCTATAAAGTGTATAGACTCGTCATACAAACCGAACTATCAAAATCAAGTCCTTGTATGTAAAACTTTTGTATTTGACAAGATATTCTCCCAAAATGTAGCATAGTTTATTGTTCAAGGCAACGCAACAATCTCCGAAGAATTTGTATAGATCGGATGACTATAGTATATAGCTGCCATATTAACTGAACGATCGGAATCATATATTTGTATGTAACAACAATGTATTATCCACAGAAATTGTTCAGATCAAATCACTCTATCATATAGCTGCCATACAAATTGAACGATCGGAATCAAGTTTTTGTAAGCAGCCTTTGTATTTGTGAAGGGTATTTTAGCTTTAGTGCAACCGAAGTTAACGTTTTTTCTTGTTTACCTTAAGCAATGCACCTGTAAAAGGTATTATAGCTTCAATCCAGCTTTTCTATTGTAGTTTTCGTTTCAAAAAAAAGTTCTACTTAAATTAACTTCTGCAGATGCGAGAATATTTTATGAAAAATTTTATTCAAAATTGTTAAACATCAAGAAATCAGCAAATACAAAATACGATACTGATAACGAAAGATTGGCATAACTTATGGGCGTTCTAAACTCGCTTTGATAGCCTTCCTGTGGATCTGCGCATGGGTGCTGCGACTAATTACAGCTTGTAATGTATACTTCAAGGCGTTAGAGCACAATTTTTTTCCGCTTATTATTTTCTCAGGAATACAATAAATTTCTCTCTCCACCATGCACGCAGACGTCTCTATTAATAATAAGCGTAATGAATGTTTCAGTTACAAATTTGCTTCGGGCCAAATATTTGTGTGTCTTGTTGTAATCAAATATGAAAATCGCATAATGTCACCGCAGGACATCGACGTTTGGCATTCGGCAGCGCTATGCGATGACGTCGTTCCGAGCAGCAGGCACTTGTGACTGAACAATTGGCAATAGTTTGACGTTGAGGTAAAGCCAACAACAACATGGTAATTGCGTGAAACTGCAATTCTATAACAACAACATCGATGCCGATTGGAATAAACTTAAAAATGTTTTGCTTTTCCATTTTGTATTGCCTTCTCACGCGCCCATCTAAGCTGTATTTGGATAGTTACCCCGTATTTAATTCGATGATAAGTAATTTGATGCTTACTTTCAAAATTGCCTCTCACTAGCTGAATGAATGTATATACAACAACTATAGTAAAAATATATTTGTGTGTATGTTGTCACCGGAGCTTCATTGTGCAAAATTCAAACAGCAAATTTAAAATCATACAATCTCTCTATGCACACATACCTCGTCCTTTTTCGCTCTTGGATATCCTGCTGTGTGTTCACGACAATTTTGCCGTCGCAGACATATCGTTGAGTTGTGAAAAATTATTAATTTGAGGCTCATTAAAATTTGATTACACGTCATGCCATTGTACACACTTTCCGAGAGTCGTCAACTATTTTGCTACGTATATATGTATGTATACCATTTATTTTATAGATCGCATTGATCATATAGAAACTCGTCAATCGCTACATTGAAACAGCTTGAACTATATTATTGACGAAACTGGTTTTGAAATTGAATTGCGTTGTTTAGTTTATTTTCTGAAGCGATTACGTATAAGCAGTAAATTACGGCGCTGATTTTTGGTATCAAATGATTACAGTTAATGGAAAAGTAGGTGCTGTTCGAGCAGCAACAGTCAAGTGTTCGTTTTAAGGAAATCTGAGTTTAGCTGGCGTTTTTTAGTTGTGAACAATTTCTGAATATTAAACTCGAGTAGGCACACAATTTTTTAGAATTTGAAGACACCAATTTCCAGTGCGACTAATGATCAGAGACATATTCAATAAAAGCGCTCGCTTTCAAAAAAGAAATCATGGAATGTAAAAGTCAAGAAATTGCTACAAATAGGCATATTTTACGAAGTTACTCACTATAATAGTGTATACTTATGGTTAGCAGGCAAATACTTGAATGCCTGTAAAATAGTTATACCCAATTTCCTGCAATTATATCACATATATATATCGATTTACATTTTAACCAGGAATAGTCAATATGTTATTTTCGCAAATATGGCCTACTTGACCAATTTGGCACTATAAAAATTCTTTTTACATTACTTCCTAAAGTTCCAAAACCGTTCTGATTGAGTAATAAAAGCAAATTTATTTGGACTTTCTTCTAAGTAATAACCGATTGACTAATCACAACTAACTAACTCATTAATCATCTGAATAAGCAAAATATCTTAAAACAATCATTAATCCAAATACTGTTAGTACTATAAACATAGTCTGCGTCTTTTAATGTTTTGACGAATTTTACTTCCAGTTCTGCTCGTTCTGACATTTATCTCTAAGCTATGGTATCATCATTTTACGATCATTATTTTGAAATAATGATCAACTAAACTATTAAATAATAACAGCAACGGCTGTCGTAAAGATGTGCGATTTGTATTACCCATCCCATTCTCATTTTTCTTGATAAAAATCGTGCGAAATATTTTCAAAAACTCTGTATTTCAATTGGCCAATATTTTGATACACATAGAAATCCCATATTTTATTAAAAACCAATAAATTATTTATACAAAAAACAGCGTTTTCATGCTATTGACTCACCTCTTCTCTTCGTCTGCGTACCCAAAATTTGATCAATGCTGTAGACAGCGCGTGGTCTTGATACGGGACCTTCCTGAACTGGACGCATAACTGGGGCCATAATGGGATGTGACGTTGTGGTGGACATCATTTTCGAAAAAAAATATTTTTCGTTTCAACTTGGCACTGAAACTTAATTGGTTTGCACAGTTTTCAACTTAGGTAAATATTAGTAACTGCGCTCTTGGTTCACAGTTGTTCGTTTACACAAAGTAAATTTATTAATTTAGTTATTTAATTGCACTTTTGTAAACAATTAGAAATGCTTGTTTGTATTCATAAAGTTAAATTATACTCAATTAGTTAGTTGCACTGCCGTTGGACACTTTCGGCACACGTTGCGTTTATGAAAATCGCATTTCCCGCGCGCACATATAATTGATGTTACGACCAACAACCACCGACTGACACAATAACCGCCTGGACTTTGCTATTTGAATGCCACCAAATTGAGTCAACTCGACCGAGCAGGCTGGCGGCAAGTGTCTGAATGAAACGGCACCACGGCAGCGGTGTGTAGATCCTGCGATGCGTTGCCAACCGTTGACAATGAGCTATCCTGTGTTGTGCGAAATGCTGAGACAAGCACCCTGGAGCGCGTTATCTCTTTCGCTCTTTCATGCCTTTTACATGGCAAGGAGCGTAGGGTAGTTTTCCGGTTCTTGGCCATTATGATGGGTTTGCAGGTAGGCGCTAAGACACATTAAGGGGTGTTGCCACACTCTTGCACACACACACACACTTTTTGTTCTTGTATTGCGTACACACATACACATAGGAAATTTGTTAGTTACGCACACACATACAACGCGCACAGGCTAACTCACAGCCAGTCAAGAGACACATCAACGGCATTGCGCTCGTGCAGGAAAATGAGAAAAGACAACGCCAATAAACAACAGTTACAAATGTTCGTATTGTAGAAAAACAAATTGTTGAATTGGCTTTTGACTTATTTTCCATGGTGATAAAGCCAATGCGTTATCAATCACTCGCTACAATTACAAATACATTGTGCTCACTGCTCTCACTCGTGTTTTTTACTCTCATTATTTTGTGTGCATAGCGCAAATTAACTTGATTTCACTTCACAATCGCTAATATCTATCGAATTAAGCTATTTACAAGAGGTTATCGCATTATTTTTTTTTTACAATTCTCTCTGAGCTGCACTTATGGAACGTGTTAGTTGGAGTAGTGATGCAAAAAAATTAAAACTGAAAAATATTATAATTAGATAACCTGAATTACGATGCACGAAGGAACTTTTTTCAAAAATAAAGTCAAGTAAACTATTGTTTTTCATTAATGAAGCACCGCAATGCGATTACGAGGTTATATCCACTTGCGGGTCAGAAAAACGCGCAGACTTTTTTGAAGAGGCATTTCATTTAATAACAAATAATAAAAAATGCGTATTTTTAGAAATTGATGTAGCTTAATAATCGGCAATTCATTATTAAAAATTTTTAATTGGCTTATTCCGTAGGATGAGCTTATTCCTCTCCGAAAAAATTTCTCTGGCGGCAAGCAAGATTTTTCTATTTAAAATTATCATAAACCCAAATAATTAAAAACCTATATATTATTGTTATAATTGACAAAATGGCGGCTAACCAAAAAACAATATATACAATATATATTACATTCAATGCACATATTTATAAGCAAAAACATTATAGTTTTTGAAAGTCACAAGTGATATTATTCGGTTCATCCCGCACAATCAAAATTTGCTATTTTGAGTTACGAATTACGCTACAAAGAATATAAGAGAAAGCCAAAATAATCAAAAATACAAAGCTTTAGTTCATTCTTAATTTTATGAAGATAGAGAATTCTTTCGTTTTGTTTAGTAGACTTTCGACATAATCGTATAGAACAGATAGTAGATTTATCTATTTCATTGGCATATGTACCCAAGCAGTTCAAAGCTGTAACAAATCATTTAATTTTGCAGATTTAATTTTTCTCCACGTCCTTCGAGGTTCTTAAAATGAAAAATTAAAAAATGTACATCATTAAGATTTATTAGGGGGAGTACTTCGACCTTATTAAAAGAGTTTATTGTAACGATAGTTTAGACTGTCGAACTTCAACTCAACGAAAACATTAATATTTATGTTTGGATCTGATTTTTCTGTGATTTACTGTTCAAGTGGAACGTCTCATCAAGCTTTGGTTTGGCTATCTTGAGTTTATTAATATATTAAACGTTCAATAATTAAGTGAAACTTTTTAATGTCTAAAGCATTCTCCGAGGTTTGAAATTGCCTGTCGTTTTCAACTGTTATTAAAATAAACTCTCTAAGCCTACTTGGCTAATCTTACTTCATCAATTTATTAGGCTGATAATTTGGTTTTACTAGCTAAAGGGCAATGCGCTAACAATGCCCCTGCATCGCCTTTAAGAAAAGCAAAAATAACCGAAGCATTGAGATTTATTTGTACTCCAAATCCATGCACTGACACCGCGTAGTTCAGATCTTTATTAAAGGCACAATACTTTGAGCAGCTCCTATCAAAACAAAGGATTAACTAAATCGGCGACACCGCGCTGTAGCGAGCAATGAGCTCAGACAAAGACTACAAGTCGCCTGCGATTAGAGACATTGTCTTTTGTGACGTGTATGAAGGCGAATCGGTGGCTCTTCATAGTTGTGTGTGTAAGTGTGTAACTTATGCAGACACAGTGGATGCTGACAAAGGGACACCTCATCCTAGCTGGCCGGTTACAGGTGCGGTAAGCAGACCGATAAGCAGACCGATTCGCTAAGGAATATTTGCATGGTGCGACCAAATAAAGCGGATCAGTGTATCTAAAATAAGACAAGTTACCGAGGATTAGAGCGAAGCTTTACTACAATTAGCCGTTTTCGAAAATTAGCGATCTATGTGTACAAAAAGCGGTAAAATGGTCTCCCGCTGTGTTTTTGTTACGGTAGAATATATTTTCTTGTGGAATTGTTTTAGTTTATTTAAAAATTACATAAAATTGCATATTTTTATTTGTGCCATTTAAATAGTTTCCTTTGCGGAATAAAATTACTTGGAGTGTAATCGTTTGCTAAGTTATGATTATTGCACATATAACCAATAGTAAATTTTGATTATAGAGTTATACTTAAAAAAAATTTTTTTTTTCCATTTTTGGAAAATTAAACATAACTTTGACTTTAAATGCAGTATTGGCTTATAGTAAAATGCGAAAATCAAAAGTACTCTTTGAGGGTTATGTTATAACCTAGTTACCGAAGAAGGTCTGCCAAAAACCCGACAAAAGCTCTTATCCGACTATAACAATGATTCAAAATTCTATAATTTGTCAAAAGGTTTTATATATTTTAAGGTTATTTTGGTTTGGTAGACACCTGTAAGAGTAGAAAGATGAATTTTATTATGTCATTATAATATTACTACACAGTAAACAGAGAAAATTTAATCGTAGGTGCGATATTTAGCATTTCAAATCGTCGAACATAGCTCTATGAAAGACGATGTATATTAGGATTACCACTCCGTCCGTAACACTCAGTTTCAAATTCTTGTATAAAAACTGTTTTATGTGACAAGACATCTTCGTGAAACTTTACATAGATCTATATCACAGACTACAGTATAATCTCCAAACAAATTGTTTAGAACGGACCCATAAAGCGTATAGATAAAGATTCCTTATTAATTAACCTTAATTCGACTTGAAGGTTATTTATATCAAACAACATGGGTAGATTGGATGCAAACCGTTGGTCGGTTACTTTTTCAGATTTACTTTTACATAAAGTTGCTAAAAGAAATACCTCTGTAAAAGGTATTAGAGCTTCCGAGGTTAACGTTTTTTCTTTTTTTCAATGAAAATTTAAGGTTGTACTTATTACGGTTATTCGATTTCATTTCCTACACATAAAAATATTTTTACGGCCTGGACTTCAATTCGGAAGACACTCATTGATAACAACAAAATGGAGTTTTTGTAACTATGCTGATTGAAGTTTATGTTTTACATATTACCCTGGTAATTAAATGCATTTTTGAATATTTGTAAAGGAAATCTTACTTCCTTCATTTTCAGAAACTGTTATTATAAGGTTCCTTGCCTGCATGAAAATTTATAAAAGTGCTCTTCAAAAGGCTAATTGCGGACATCTTGATGGCTTGTTTGAGGTAATTTGATATTCAAACCTGCTTATCATTAACCTTGTTAGATCTACTCAAATGCTCAACAATTCAATCGACCATAGCAAAAATAAAACATAAGAAGAAACTACAAAAATTTGCCGCGTCGAACGCCATCGACAAATTTGATGATACCAATTAAAGCGGCTTTAAAAGGCCCAAAATGCAAATCATTCAGAGGGAAAGCAAGCGGCCTAAAATTAATGCAGACGCAATGAAGGGAGTAAGCGTTTCGCTCAACAATCGCCCAAGCTGTCAGCTGCACAATGGTACAACGCAATCCTAGATCCCGACACATACACACACAGACACACACCCAGACCCATTGTAAGCCGATTCACTTACGCTTCTTGTACTAACGAAAGTAATGATTTTGCATAAATTTGTGAAAAACTACTTAAGAACAAAAGCGGCCTACATTAGATTTAAAATCATTAGCAGCTATTAGCGATATAATGACAGGTAAGAGTGAAGCAGTGCCGCAGCAGCGAAAGATTGCGAATGCCTTCGGGCGCGCTAAGGCAAGCAAGCAACCAACTACAACTGCATCTCTCTGTTTGTGTCCATGTGTGGAGGTAAGCAGTAGCAAGTGAACTTGCAACAAAGTAAAGCGGGAGCAAACTATTGTTCATTGCAGCGCTACACACTCACATATACATACAATATATCCGTGCATGACATTGTCAGGTCAACCATGCACCGTAATCCTTGCGCTGTTCGGCGCGTTTAGTTCAAGTCTTTAATTAATACAAAGCAAACGAGGAATATTAGTTGTGGTTTTCACAGGAACTCTGCCAGTAGCCAGAGTTAACCGTCGTCACTAATGCTAAACTTAGAATTTCAAGAAATTGACAGCATTTTGCAACCGTGTTGAGCAACGCCTGCATTGTTTCCGCATGTGTACTCCAACAATGGCTATTCTCTGCACTGCTCTTCAGAGAATTGTTTGTGTATTGGATAAACGCAATCGGCAGGTACATTACATAAGATTCAGTAGTGGTTTACATTAGTATTTGCACTGAAAAGGGGTTTTAGAAAATAGTATAGAAATGGTATATCTTTAAGCAAGTTTTCTGCAAGTCAATTATCTACTTTTCATATTTAGATAACCTGCCAATAATGTGAAGATATTTAGTATCGTTTATCAATTGCTAACCTAGACCACGCTTGGAAAGGAATAACAAATTAAACTTTACTGATAAATTACAACTCTATGAAAATTTGTATGTCTTTGACTTAACATTAACTATCAACGTTTCGTGTCAACCAAAAAATGGTTGGAGCAAACAATTGATCCTATATAATATTATGTT